CTTTCCGGTATGATATCTGTGAAGTCTGAACCGGCTGACGTTGTCCCCGTGTAGCATCCGCAACCCCGCTTCTGGAGTTGTCTCACGTGCTTGGCGTACGCCACCTGTGGCTGTAGCGTCGGGCCAAACAACGAGAACACCCTCAGTGTTGCATCCACTGTCAAAAAAAATTTAAGGTCAGAGTAGACTGATTCTGTCCAATAAAAGTTAGAAGACAAAGTCAAAGAAACGCGAAATGAAGGGGAGCAGTACGAGCAATCCCATACCTTTGCAATTTATCGATTTTATCCACCAATTTCATGGCCTCGTATTCCTTCTGTTCCTGCGACATACCCTCCATTGGACTGGGCTTGTAGGGCTCGAAGCGACCTGTGACTGGGTTGACGTCGTCTCGTAGCTGCTGGTAGGTCTCCGTCTCTGAGTCCGAGGAGGAGGATGAGTAGGGTTCAGTAGGCGGCTGGCTGCCACCCATCAGACCGTGGCGAGCGAGAAAACCAGCGAAATTGCCAAAACCAGAGTACTTGATTGCTCGACTGACTGAAATGGACAAGGAAGGGTTAAGCAATTTCGAATGCCTTTATGAAAAAAATGCCTCCGACAGAAAACAGACTGAACGACACTAGCGGGCCGAGTCACTCATAACTTCACCTTACAGGAACAAAGAAACCAGATTCTGTTACTGCGTGGCTCGCTTGTACAAAATAAACCCAAGCACACTGACTTTGATTGATCTTTGTTTAATATCCAAAGACTCCAATGCCCCTAAAAATAAAAGGACCAATGTTGACTGTATTTTCGTAAAAAAAAGTTGTCCTTTATAAAAGGCGTTGAAGTCAAATTTGTCTCGGAACGTAGAACCTCAGGGATTTAAAAATTGCGGTGGCTTTACAACTCGGACGAAGAATGTAGGTCCATTGAATTTTGCCAGAAGGCGAAGTCCAGGGAGCTATACAAACATAGTTCTGGTGAGCATATGAAGTAATTGGCCTACCTCATAAAATACTAACCGGGATTCTGAAATGTGTTTTCGATTCGAACAAATTACTTAAGTAGGGCTGCAATATTAACTAGTGTGCTGCATAATCGTAAGGTATTCATAAAGCACTGTATAATTTCATTGATTAATCCTGTTTACAAAGTATACTGTAGGGTCCACGTTCACTGTAAAAGTTTGCAAGCCCTATATTACCCCCTCTTAATAGCGAAGAGAAATATCTGCCATTCTTTACACACAAAATACATGGTTTGTAGTTTGGAAGTCCTCAATGCAGGTATAAGCGAAAGTTGAGTTCTCGGTTATTCAGGAATTTAGAAAATATTCTAAAATCAAACAATATATTTTCTTCAGGCATAACGTTGGAATGGAACGCAATGTGCTATCAAGTGAGTGCAATAAAGGATATTTGTGTACATATTTTATACAAAATATTATTGAATTTATAAGGGTATTGAAAATCAATGGGAAAACTCGTATTACTTATTAAGCCATTCTACGGAGTGCACTCTTCGCAGGCGGGCAAACAGAAGCTTGTTCAAAAGTCGGCATCCTAACGTGACTGAAATACCTTAGGGTTATGCTGTATAATAACTAATCTTACAACTGTACTTAAGTAATATTTTCTAATTGAAAACATTTCAGAATTTCAGTCAACGTTTCATGAGATATCACATCTACTATAAGACGAAAATATTTTATCCATGCCGGAATGCCAGCGTTTGAATGAGCTATTTCCGGCCGTATTCAATAAGTATATTCTGCTGAAAGTGGCTAATTAGGTACCATGAACTTCGCACTCATTTCCGATACCTTAATAAATTCAAATATACTTCAGAGAAAAATGTGCAAAAATAGTCATATTGTAACCAGTTGGAAGCCAAATCGTCCTCATAAGGTTGACCGTCTCAATAACAGTTCCGGTCGTATCTGAGGGCACTGCTCAAATCACAAGAGGAACAATAAATAAAGATGCGCCAGGATAGGACAAGTGGGCACAAATCTGAAAAACCCAGTATTTGAAAGCTACTAAACACATCATAGCTTCAACTGCATAAGATGCGTTGTGTGAACTCAGTGCAGTGAGTGATCTGTAGCAAATGAAATATGCATTGCGCTTCATTCAAACAAAAGCAGAAGGGTGTATAGATTCACTAAAGCTTGCCGGCGTTTGGTCTTGAAGTGAACATCTTTAAAGCAGTGCGGTAGTAAAGAAAAACTGAATATCGACCTGCTGTTTCAAGTGTGCAGTGCATGAGCAGCATGGAGTTTTAGATTTTTCAAGTAATACAATGGCCAATCTTTGCAGCGCGTATTTGTGCAGCTCACCTTATTAAATAGGTCTACATTACACTCAAATGCTTCCAGTCGACTAAACGGCAGGCCACATCATGCGGAGTTACAATAAGAGTTCCTCAAATTCAGCTTTTTTTGCGTTTTTTGTATTTTTCGTTCATAGGATTCTTTCCAGACATCGTTAGAGCAAGGTACATTCACGTCACAGTTTTTAGCCGCTAAACTGGACGCAGAATTTTATACTCCACCATGCTAGCTCACAATGGGTAACCTTAAGCTTCTGGTTTTTTAGTTTGTCAACTGAGGTAAATTCACCAACTAGGGGCGTCTTGGTTGTGAGCGAACAA